TAAATATGTACAATGTCAAAAAAATAATGAAAAAATTACGTAAAAAATGTATCGACGAGTTTAATGCATCGGGAACTCAACCATCGAACCGAAGGAATGAGATGATCCTACATCCACAATATTACGACTTTTGTTAAGAATCTTAAATAAAAAAAAACTACATACATAAATTGACAAAATCTACAAGTTTTGGACTAAAATGTCGAAATTTAAGCAAGTTATATGTCGCAGGCATGTTGAATAATTCATCTTTTTGTAAACTGCCCCATACGTTTGCAGAAGCACGCGAAGGTTTGTAAAATGCCAAAGGCAAGTTATAAAACGTTAGATTGTAAAATACACTATTATGAATGAAGGGTTTTTGGGTTCAAGAAAAAACCTAACTACCTTAGTCCCATAAGCTTGAATTAACTTAGTGGAATTCCCAATCTAACACCGCGTATTAATTGTTTAATAAAATAGCTAATGAATTTGTAAAACAAATTGATTCTACAACCATGAATCTATTTTTTAATCTCTGTCATATTCTGGCAAAATAAATGGAGTGAAGAGGCATTTTACAATTTCCCTAATGTATTTTACAAACCAGCGACCGTTGGCATATAGACTGTACCGTTTGTATAATGACAAATTATGCAATATGCCTGCAGGTTACGCACTTACGACTCGACACACGTAGAATGTACATATTATGTCGCACCAAACCAGTCGTCTCTACATAGGTCCGTTAATTCACACGAACGCAACATAACTCCGAAACCTGATGCAACTGGATAGTCATGTGTATATTTGTAAATTGATTATTTTTTATATATATTATTATTTTAAAATAATGTTAAGATTTGTAATACTCATGAACACAGTTAATCAGTAATTTTAAATCAGGTAACAATGTCATTTCAAAGAATCGTTGTTATTTTTAACAATAAAATAATCAATATACAAAAATATCCGCAAAACAATTTCGATATACATATTATGTTTATCTCAGCGACGCACAGACACACGAACACGCACACAATTTACAACGATCATAAATTATGTAGACGCTTAAATAAATAGTGGTCATCTTGAAACTGGTGCCATTATTACACTATACTATGCCCCGCCCGCGGCTCTGCTCGCTTCGAACTTTACTTAACGATGTACGAACGAATATTTTGTTAATTCTTCTAAAATTTTTTACTCTGTTTTATTCAATGCACCAATCCTAACTCAAACCTCAAATTCGATATTATAACAATATCGATATCGGTCGCCGAATTTTGTCAATTTGGTAAATATGAGGTACATATATACGATAATATATAACTTAAACTATTCTATTAGTAGCGCGAGCACGCTCCGTGTGCGAACAGACAGACAGAACTTGTGACGTCAGCGTTATCACAGATTACAACAATTTCCCAACTTTTAAAGAAAGCAAGTGACGGGAAGGCCTCACAAAACTACATCCCCATCCCTGCCACGAAACACTTAATAAGATCTAAACGCTAAATAGTAGGAAATATGAATATACGGACACTCGTTGTTACCCTACGAACGAGATCGGGAGCGTAGGACGTCGTCCAAACCGACTTAGGCTACCTCGTACACCTACTCTATAGATGATCTAGAATCTAAATGACTCCACAAACACATCGAAATCTGTCGAACAAAACAAAACACACGGCACAAAATCACATGAGCAAGTATCCCTACGGAGACGAAGCTTCATACAACCGCACCATCATAAATACTCGACTGCCATCGTATAGAAACCCATTAATTTTAACCGAAATGCTAGTTGTCAAAAGAAGCTTAGAAGGCATTAGGGTTGACAAGTATAACCGTATTTGCCAAAAGTGTGTATAATGCTTTAATTTTATATTGAAATCCTTTTTGACAACCCTTGCATATAACAGTATTTCAGGAAAAATCAAAAGTGATCACATACTGTATGTTTTATGGGGCAAGGAGTGTGCATGTATATTAAAATTCCAATCGGTATTGAGCTTGCTATTTGAACAATTTAAGTCGAATATGAAAAATATATTACTGGATAAAGCTTATTACACCATGAGGGAATACTTTGTATGTATATGTATGTGGGACTATTGTCCGGTCGGATCTCACGTAGGATAAGTAGATAATTGTTGTATGTATGTATTGCAATATTGTAAAAAAATATTATTTTAAAAGATCAACTGATGAGTTGCGGCTTATCTCAACAGAACTGCCGAGCCGGTGGTACATTCCTGACGGAATTAAGTATTGATATTTAACGGTAAACAATATAAAAGTGATAACTCAAACTTGCTTGTAAGTATATTTGAATAATGTATATTTTGATTTGATTTATACTATGATGGTAGTCTATTTATCGTCGCGCGGTTCTACGAAGCTTGGTCGATGTCAGTCCGGCGGGACATTCGCGGAGGCGAGCGCGGCAGAACGCGGAGACGGGCATATATCTATAAAACATTGTATGCGTACAGAGATTTATAATTTATACTCATTTATAATTATAATATACACTAACAACTACATAAAGCATGTGCTTAACCGGTTTTCTCGACGTACATATATTTTGCTCAAAATATTAACTTTCGCCATACCCCGACTATCGTACAGAGCGACAGCAGACTAGTCGAATCGATTATGCACTTAATAAAATCGATTTTAATAAATATATTATTATTTAAACAAGTCCATAAAGATTTCTTATGCTAAATAAACGTATGTGTAGAGCTCGTCGAACTGTCAAAGCGACTCGTACGATAATCGATGCATATAATAAGAATTAGCAACTATAGCGTACTCTTGATTATCTTATACTATAAACTTTGGTATCGGATCGTTAACTATAAATAATACTAGAATCAGAACAAGCCAACTCGGGTCAAGTCAAAAAACGAACACCAAATCATATACGATTTGAAACATCTAAAACAATAGAAAATATAAACTTATTTAAAAAAAAATTGAATGAAATGTCAAAAGATATACACACAATAATGAATATAATCTCACAATCGATTAAAGAATAATCGATAACCATGCAACATGGACTTTGTTCAACATTTGTACTCTTAGTACCACAAATAAATAGGCGCGCAACGTCACGTTACGAGGAAACTTGGCATAGTAGAAAACCGTCGCGGCAATATCCGACAACGACGCCTATCCTAGTTATTCACCGGCCACGTTGTTTGTCAACAAAATGGCCGCCATAATCCTTAACATTACCATATATCCGATAAACTAAATCATTTATAATTAATCACTTTAGTTATCTACTACAAGTTATATCCATTAGGCAGTTTCAGTTTGACAGATCAATATACATAGCGTCGTCGGACATCGCCACGGACGGACACATAAATAGATTCATCCAATGAATACTGTAGGACGCGACCGAGCGACTGAGTATCGACATCACAACGCGGACTAGAAAGCGGGAGTTCTTAACCGAAGGGCGCGGGCGCCGTCTGCGACTTCGATACATTCGCGATTGTACAAATAATCGATTTTCATGTTTAAAAATAATCGATGTGAAATTCTTTAATAAAAAAGTCTGCAGCATCATTTAAATCGCAACAATAACTTGTAATATTAAATGTACAAGCACCGCGCGAGCCGCGGACGCGCGCGCGCCGATAGGAACCGACTACTGAACTATACGAAACATCGACACGACGAGTTAAAATCTAACATCTCAAACTTACATATTAAAGCACCTTAAACAAGGTTGTATCGCGGTTAAAAAACCTAATCTAGTGACTGTGACTATACTGTTAACGTTACTGGTACTGGTACTAGTTACTGGTACTGCTGGTCGCACTGCGGCGCGCGCACGCAGCGCCAGCGGGGTTCACGAGCGACGGTCTCTACCGCCTTCATTACTTTATATACAACAATCGATAATTGCTCTCACCACATCTACACTCCCCGTTCATATCCTTCTAAGGGCTTCATTTTTTTTTTGATTTTTTCATTTTTATTTATCGGAACGTTTGTCTGTATGTTTGTGTAATCAGATCGACACGGAGTGAAAAACGAAGCAGATCTATATTTGGCAACTTTCCTTGCGAGATGCACTATGGGGTTTAAATACCGCTCGGTATGGTGTTTTGTAATAGGATATTTAACTTTGAAAGTACTCTTCTCTTATAACTCTATGTAGTACTGTGACGTCATAAAGACACTATCTCTATCACTATGTTAAAATTTGATTTTAAAACCCATCAAATACCCCATTACAAATGATGTCATATAGTTGTTACACGTCTAACGCTATGTGAGGAAAGAGCAAGAGTTAATGGGTAAAGAACAACACTAGTATTTGTAAACAAACTGCAATAAAATATACATTTGAAATAGAAAAGAACACATTCTAATTCATTTGTGAACATAATTAAAATATTTTTTCAATAAAATAACATTAAATATATTTTACAAGCAACTCTTTTTTGTAAATTCTGTTTTTAACGATAATATAACTTTTTTTCTATAACATTTACAAACACCAGTGTTAGCTCCCCGTAAGCTACACAACATACGTACAGCGTGTACAAAATAATAATACTTGTGTATTCAATACTATGAATAAAATAAATCAATTAAGCCGAAACATTACATATCACTATTTAATACTTAGAATTTATTATCTAAAAAATAAAATAAAAAGGTTATATTCCTATAAAAAAGAACGACTAGAATATCAAATGCTTTGAAATATATCGACGATATTTTTTTCGCTAAAGGCAGAGTAACAATAAAGTATTAATATTGCATCAACCCCGACCACTCTACAGCGGGTCGTAAAGACCTATTTGCAAAACAAATTTCCCATTTACTAAAACATACTCACTAGTATATTCGAGTCGATTACCGAATGGATCCAAGTTCCATAACAGAAGGTGCTTATTACCGCGGTAATAAGTATGAAGTGTTGGGTAATAATAGGTAGTAATAAATTCCAGATATTAAATAGCTTGCGACTGGGCCGCCGGCGCTCAGGGCTGCGGCGGCGCCGGGTTGAAGTCCTTGTTCACGAACGAGAAGCCCTTGAACTCCTCCTGCGGGGAATACCGTAGCGTGGTTAGCGGTGTGCTGCGCCGTACACGACGTCTATACCGTAAGAACTACTACATATGATGATGATGATGTTCTCCTAGCCGATTTCGGCTACAGCGGCCAATCTCATTGAGATTAGCCAACTGCGCAGGAGATATTATAGTGCTCAAGTGTACGCGCAGACACAACGTGCACTCTCTATTCCTATCACTCTCATACTCCGGTGGGACGACCACTCGACACGACCGGTGAGAGTTAAGGCGCAGGACCGACGGCTTTACGTGCTCTCCGAGGCACGGGGGTGAAACACCGCCAACTTCCCAACTCCGGGCTGTTACTGACACTTACTATACAGGAAGACTCAATAACTAAACTTGGCCCGACCCGGGACTCGAACCCAGGACCTCCGGGTGTGCAGCCGTACATGCTAGCCACTACACCACCGAGGCAGACATATATAGTAAGTATTGCTATATTTCAGCGGTGATACAAAAATTGTATAGAAAAAAAAATGGCTTTCCATTCCATTTTCGCCTCTAACAACCTTATTTAGACTATTACGAATATTTAAAAAAAATACCAAATTAGTCCAGCCATTCTCATAATTCAGATTTATATTACTACGAAATCTTAACAGCGTCTTAACTTCAAAACCATTCGCCATAAAAATTGATATTTTTAACAACCCTTGCATTACCGTTAAAATCTAAAGTGCGAGTACCTACAGTACATACAGTAGTATATATATTTTACTAGTTATCACATAGAATCAAATGCCAGATACATAATTCGTTGGCTTCCTATTACAAGGTTTTATGTTAATTTTAATGAAGTTTAGTAATTTTTACATAGAACTTCGTTATTTTGTTATCGTAAAAAAAAACATAGAACTATGTAAAATTGAATATTTCGTAGTTTAAGTGTTGCTATCTACTGGTTTGTTTTTGCAAAACTGTAGCTAATGACACATAGAACCTTGTAGCATTAATAACTAAATAAGTACTAAAATTGTAACATAGAACCTTGTAATAGTGAGCCAACAGTGGGCAGTGTACCTGGTTGATGGCGCGCAGCACGTCGGGCGGCACGGGCGTGAGGCACGGCTCCTCCTTCGTGAACTCCGCGTCGAAGTTGGCCGCCTCGCGCTTGCTCTTCTGCACCCACACACACACCCACACCAGGACCGGGACAAACAATGCAGTATTTTGAGGTAAAGTTTCACGGGATTGATTTAGATAGTTAAGGATTCATGACATTTAAGTTGTTTTTGAGAATAAATCGACGTTAGGCAGTGTCGTTTATAAGGATAAATGCGTGGATGTTTTGAATAAACTAATTCTGTAGTCATGATATTTGTAGAAATAAATGTTTTACAGTTTTTAATTTTCAATATAATATGTTATACCACATCAATCTTTTTAGATTTCGTTTTGAATTTTGTTCCCGATATTTCGAATGTTTTATGATCATATTCACTAGAATATTATTATAATAAAAGCTGTAGAATACACGAAAATATTGTCAAATATTCGTGTAAAAAATATACTTTTTGTTTGTCAAAAACTCTACTAGATAATAATTAATAAATCTAAGGGAGTGAATAAGTGAGTAAGAAATGATTTATAATATCATAACACGTCTATGAGTAGACGTTTTATTCCGTCCAGTAAAATATACGGCATCATTTATTTACTCGCTAATAAATAAACGATGCTGTATATTTCAGTGCACAGAATAAAGCACAGTAAAGGTGAGAGTATAGTTAGTGCATGCATACGCACCACCTTGGGGCGGAAGGGCGGGCGCACGCGGCGCGCCGCCAGCGCGTCCCAGTCCACGTCGCGGAAGAAGGCGTGCGCGCGGATGCCGGCCGCGCCGCCCGCCACGCCCAGCCGCCGCGCCGGCGCCTTCGTCATGAACCCTACACACACACACATCATACAGAGGCACACTTTGCTAGTTTGTACGTACAGGTATCCTCTGAAACTACAGTATCGATTCTGCAAAATTCTTTCACTACTAGAAACGTTATCTATACATAATATAATAAAATTGTAACTAAGTCGAATCTGTACATTAGATATTTTTTGGAAAATCTAATTGAAATAGACATTATTATCGATACACAGTCCGAATCTATAGTTTTTAGAACTTTTGTCTGTTTGTCTGTCTGCCTGTCAGTCTGTTACCGCATCACGAGAAAACCACTGGATAGACTTTGATGAAATTTGGTATGTTGATAGCTGGTTATCCGGGTCAACATATAGGATACTTTTTACCGCAGGAAAATATCTAATTTCTGAGAAAAAATATTTGTATAACCAAAAACCAAATTATAAAAATATTTTTATAATTTGGTTTTTGGTCATTTGAACGCGGGTGGAGCCGCGGGCAATGCTAGTTACTATATAAATGTTTGACCGTTGAATTACTTTATCGTGTACTGTTAAGCACCTAGATTCAGAAGGGAAGTTCAGAAGGAAAGTCAGATATTTTGTCAATGTGACATTCGATACCGACAGCATACTGGTTTGCAACAAACAATACAAAACTAAATTTTGTTAATCACAACAATTATTCGATAACCCTACACAATCAGAAAAACATCAGTATAGTACTTGAGATACGAAAATGGATTCCTTGTAAAATAATAATAATTAAATGAACCTAAATAGCACCAGTCTCTGCTTAATATATCTATAACGATGCTACATGTAATTTTCGAACAGTAGTTCCCGGGACTTATTATGATTTGTAAAACTTTATAAATTAATGTGCAAGTTGTTCTTTATTTCTTCAAACTGTGACGACTCCGGTGATTTGACTAAAATTCAAAGTGGAAATAACTTACACCTATATTAACACATAAACTCTTACTTTTGATCTTAAAAAAATGAACGTGATTTAAAAAAATATACGCTTAATAACCAATCGTTAATTCAAAGTAAATTAATAATTTAAACGATAGAAAAATTTATACATCTAAAGAATATTCACTATGCTTTAACATGAAAGGAGATTTAAAAATGTATTAAAATTGTAGTACATAAATAGCAGAAACAAATAAAAAGCCATAATAATTGAAGTCAATAAAATGAGATTAATGAATGTGTGTGAGGAGTGAGTACCCTTGAGTATGGAGACGGCGTCCTTGGAGAGCCAGACGGGGTAGAGCACGTCGTCGTGCAGGATGGACTCGAACAGGTCGTCCTCGTTGTCGGCCTCGAAGGGCGGCTGCCCCGCCAGCATCTCGTACAGCAGCACGCCCAGCGCCCACCAGTCCACCGACGGCCCGTACTCCAGCTCCTGCAGGATCTGCGGCGACAACGCACACTTTGTCTCTCTCTACTCTGCTATTACATTCATTGGCAGCACATAAATGTATGTATGTATAAGCATTCCCTACTGTCGAACTTGGAACTTAAATTTTGGATATTGTAGGCAGTGTTGGTTACTTCTCGTCTTACGGTACATGATAACTTTGCTGCAGCAAAGTGGTTAAAACTGTTTATCTAAGAGAATCAAACTAATTTTTGGAGGACATATGAAGTCCGACAAACCGCATTTAGTCAATATAGTGGACTATGGCCTGGTCGATTTCGTAACCTACAATGCGAGGGATGCCGATACCCTAAAAATATTAAAAAGGGCTGAATATTTATTATTATGGTTTGATAGTTTAAATTAACTAAAAGTGTGTCTCTAGTGTTGTTATGTATTAAATATTTTTTTAATAAAAAGTAATCCTCACCTCAGGAGCGATATAGTCTGGAGTGCCGCAGAACGTAGTCGTAGTGGCACCGTCTGAAACACACCGTTTTAGATCAATTTCCATACTTAATGTCATACACTTAAGATAAATATTGGCGTGTGATCAGCTCTCATAATCTCAAAGTCATCGGGCAACTCTGTATCACAACTGAATAAAATCAGTCGCTCCACAGCCCCCCTCCAAGCGCTTTTTTCATCATTACACTTTAATATACTCATTTATTTTATTTATTTATTTATTCGAGTGAAATGCAACTTACTACTGGTTATTTACGAAATCTCAGAAAGTAAAAATGTAACAAACTTAAAATTTGTCAGAATAATCCCTTATAGAAAGAGACTTAGAGGATTTATTTGAAAATTCAATTCCTGAAAGGGCCAAAAAGAATTGTAAGTTTGCATCAAAGTGGTTAAAATTGTAAACAATCTTTTTGAATCGACGACTATTCTTATTCAAATTTTCAGTCACTACATTCTCCCGAGACGATATATTACTGACCGACGATGCCCTCCTTGCACATGCCGAAGTCGGCGAGCTTGCAGTGGCCGTCGCCGTCCAGCAGGATGTTGTCGAGCTTGAGGTCGCGGTAGACGACGCCGTGCGCGTGCAGGAACTGCAGCGCGAGCGTGACCTCGGCGGCGTAGAAGCGCGCGCGCGGCTCGTCGAACTTGCGCGCGCGCTGGATCTGGAACATGAGGTCGCCGCCGTCCACGTACTCCATCACGAAGAACAGGCGCTCCGGCGTCTGGAAGGCGCAGTGCAGCGCCGTCAGGAACGGGTGGCGCGCCGCCAGCGCCAGCACGCGCCGCTCCGTCAGCGTGCACTCCACGTCGTCGTCCTGGATGATGGCGTCCTTCTTCAGCACCTTCACCGCGTACACCTGCACCGGTGCAATCATATGTTACTATGATAGCTCGAACCGCACGGCGACATTTTAAGAAAAAATTAAAAATTCTAACGCTCAAAACATTTATCATAGTTCAAAGACAAAGAAAAAAAAAATTTTTATAAAATAATAATTAAATAAAAATATACACCATTATGCCATTAATTGTTAGTTCTAATTTTTATAATAACATATTTCAATATATTTTTTTAAATGTCCATAGCAAAGACCAAACACTACCTCCACCTTCTAACCACCACACATTACCTCATCCGTGCCCTTCTTCTCAGCGAGCATGACCTTCCCGAAGGAGCCCTTGCCCAGCACCTTGATGAAGTGGAAGTCCTCGAGCGACACCTTGTGTCCGGCGCCGTCGTCGCCACCTGCGGCCGCGGCGGTCACACCGACCAATATTAGATAAATCCACCGACACCGATATCGTAATAACCCTATCACCAGAGTAACCACTACCTTGTGACAGACTTCAAAATAAAGAAGGTAAATAATTAATCTGCCCGGTTTTTTCCTTTCAATAAAAAAAGTAAATTCATTTTAATAAAAAAGAAGCCTTAAGGGTGGAAAAACCATTCCACCCTTAAGTTTCCTACCATTTTTAAAATGATTTTGATGTCGAAGTATTTTTTTGTTAACAAAATATAATAAATATTTTTTTATACATTTTATGTGTTAGCTTATCGGTTTACAATTTTCATTACAACAAAAATTTGAACTATTATATCAAAATAATCAATACATATTTTGAAAGAATATGCATCGTTTCATTAGTAGTTGTAATAAATATTTTCATATTTAGTTATGTAAAAAAAAACAAATAAAATAGAAATCATAAAAAACGTGTTTATGTGTTTCATTGAAAAAAAAACACCTCAAAATTAAAATAAAAAAAAAACATAAATAAACCTTGGCAACCGAATATGTCCTGCAGGTCGTCCCAGTGCGAGCGCCGCGGCGCGCCACCTGGCGGGCACATGCGTCACAGACAGACTGATACTGTGTGTTTGCTAGCGGTTAGCTGACAACATCTATGCTTAATGTTTAGAGCATTATAGCTTTAATATGTTCATTGCTTTAATATTATTATGTGTCATTTTTTGTAAGAAAATTCGTGAAAGAAAATTTATATCGTTAAAATAAAACAGATGTCAGATGACATAACGTGCTGAAGATATAATACAATTTGCAATGCAATTCATGCTTTCTTGTATTATTTGAATAAACTTACTTTTATAATTTTATAATTGACTAACAATGTTTACGATCCCTGTATCGACTTAACAGACCCTCAGCAATTTTAACCCATGATTGCTAACAAACACACAACAAAACAAACAAATAGACAAATAAACAATAAAACAAGCAACAGCCCGACACCGAAGCTAAACTGAACAAAAACCTTCGTAGCACGCGAACATGTCCTGCAGCTCGGCCCACTGCGCGCCCCCCACTCCCCCCACATCGAGCTCGATCACTACAATACGTATACAAAATGTATTCATTGTGTGGAAAATATTTCTTTTTCTTTTGGAAAATTGTAAAATATTGAACTACCCTCCTAATAACATTGGTAAGCGTGAAAAATATTGGTCTCCCAATGTGAATTTGAAAAATATTGGTTTACTCTCGTATTATGTCTTATTAAAAATTAACATATGTACATAATAAGACATTATCTATGTACATAATATGTACTACAAGTATGATTGGCTTTAATTTTAAAAAAGTACTTTGTTATCTTAGCGGGTTTTTTTCTATTTTATTTAAAAAAAACGCGCTCAAATGTTTAAATGAGCGCTCATTCGGTGAGGACATTTTATGTCCTTGATTGTGTATCTGGTACTTTTTTGATCGATGACGATGTGTTCTTTCTTTGCTATATTAATAACTGTGTTATTTTTGTCATAGTCACTCAATTGTATTGATCAAAACCTAAATAAATTAAAGACAAGGCCCTAGCATAATGTGTTTGTTCATTCAGAAACTAGTGAATGGTTATCTTTGAGAATTATTTTTTTAACATAAGTTACCGGTATGATGAGATTTTTTTTAATGAGGAAAAATCGTCTCTTCTGAGAACTTGCGTAATACTGCAAATGAGAAGAGTTTTAAGAGGCGCTAGTGGGTCATTAGTAAATGAGCAGATGCATATAGGATGTTGTGAACGAGCTATACTGTGGTTTTCAGCAAAGAGCAGTACAATAAAATTACTCAGATTATCATTAAAAACTTGGAAATTATTTTACATTTTCTGTTCGCTATACTAACTTTTGGACTCAAATGAATGATCTCCTTTAGATAAGGAAGGGTTTTTGAAGTATGTATATAATATTAAGGTATCAACATACATTTGTCCTCGTGTTTGTCGTCCTTGCCGTCGTCGGCCGCCAGGTCTCCCGGGATTTCCGACAGCGGCGTGTTCAAGTACTGCGGAAGTTCAATACAATTATAATTAAATTAATTATAACAGGAAACATTACAGTAATAAAGATCTCGAAAAACTTGGAAAATTACATGAAATTAAGTGTTCAAGTTCGCATCTCGCACCTGACATTTTTTTTTTACCATATTCTAATTGATTACCACTTAATAAGGAAACCATCATGAGAAAATGGCGTATGAAGTCCCCCTACTCGCACCTGGCCAGCGTGGAGGACTCTGGCTTAGGTAGGGGAGGCCCACTCCCAGCAGTTTTGAAATTTTCGCTCCGATATTCTCATAATAACCAAATAATTTTTTTTCAAAATTTAACTCATAGGATCCCAAAAGAGAATGGCAAAGCTTATTGCATAAAAATATTGTACTATAAACTTATTACAAATATGTATAATCAATGTAGTTAATTTATAATTTTCAAATATCCAATTATAATAATAGAAAATAAAGCATTTAGTATATGTTGTTTGACTCGATCGCACTGTAAACATAGAGCATGCAGGCCGACCTTGGAGGCGCGCGGGCGCGGGTTCTTGTCGGGCGAGATGCCCATCTCGTTGAGGATCTCCGCCATCATCTTGGTGTTGATGCCGCAGTTGTTGGCCACGTTCTTCTGGCACCGCTTGTGCACGTTCATCGAGCACACTGAGGATACACAACAATAAACTTTACACAAACAAATAATAAAGTCTAATAAAAACTTTTAAAAAAACGACTTCCAGGCACTAAAATATAAAAAAATAACTAACGAAGGTTTTCATTTAGAATAAATACCTTATCAGATATTTTCGAAGTCGGTGCCAGCCGATGCAAAGCAAATCTAATATATTTCGATACATAAAATACATATTTACCTATTAGATATTTATATCTTAAAATATTGTCGGCTGGCACCGACTTCGAAAATATCTCATTAGGTTCTATTCTAAATAAAAACCTCCGTTTAGTTATTTTTTTTACATTTAAGTGCTGGAAGTCCTTTTTTTATGTTTTTATTTTTTTATTTTTAGTTTAGTTTAGACGCAATAAGCAGGTAATGTGTTAGAAGAAAGTTTTTAATAACATATTCGTTTAAACAATTTATTTAAAAAATATATTTATTGTTGATATTTTAAAAAAACCGCTCGACCGATTACGATAAAATTTATATGGGACCACCTGGGTAGTATACACTTTAAAACAAAAAAAATCCAAATCGGTTCAGGCGTCTTCGAGTAATCGGTGAACATACATAAAAAAGATTCCGACGAATTGAGAACCTCCTCCTTTTTTGGGGAGTGAGTTAAAAAAAGATACATAGGTACAGTGTGTCTAGTGTGGAATTAGTCATATAGCTGTAGCTCTGACCATACTAGGTTCTTCTATATTCAATAGTAGGCATACCAAGTGAGAGTTATTGATACAAATTGTCAATAGGGAGTATACGTGTTTTTTTAGTTTTTATACAATAGCTAACATTGTTATATAATCGTAAAAAAACCAGCTCCAAAAAAAACTAAAATTGAGTATAAAAAAAATTAAAATGTAATACCGACACGGGTACTTTAAACGCCCGCCATTTCGCGCGCTTTGCGTGACGCAGAAAAATGACAACTTTTGCTTAAGCAATTTGAAGTGACAAAATCGCTAATCGCTCTGTTATGATATACTCTGACGTCATTTTCGGTCTAACCAATGGCGTGCGTTTCGGCTATTTAGAATTTTCCACCTATATTTGCACTTTTTGAAAATTATTTTCTTAATCAAAAACAAATTACATTAAATAATATTCATATAGGCTTAATTCAAAAGCAATAGAGACTTTAAAAAAAAATATTTCACCTTTTTTTAAATCACACGCATATTTATTATTAGTTTAGTGATACGATGTGATTGTGTGTACGCACACACCGAATGTGTATGAGTGTTTTCGTATGTATGAAATAAATGTAGCGATGGTGTGTGCTATATGCACTCGTAAACACATTCTCTATGTGTACGTGTGTATGTGTAACAGGATAGAAGGGTCGCTGCTCACCCTCGCACTGCAGGCCCTGCTTGATGAGGCCGTAGAGCAGCGAGCCGCAGTGGTCGCAGAAGGTGAAGCGCTTGTAGGAGTGCACCACGAAGCGGTGCGGCACGTTCACGTTGAAGCGCTGCCCGCCCGACACGCCCACGCCGCTGTGTTGCTGCGCCGCGACCCACGCACACACACACACGTTTATTATTATTATATATATATATATACATAAATTCAAACGACTTGATTTCCGTTCGTATGGATCTTCTAATCACACATTTTATTGCTTTATTTCAAACTTTTTAGACAGCACACGCTAATACAACAAAACAAAAACAACTCAACTCAAGTGCCACTTATCTTCCAATTTCAACTTTTTTTTATCGCAATATAAAATAACCTATAAGACTCAACAGTAATGTAACATCCCATTACTGATAGAATTTTCAATATCAGATCAGTACTTTGGGTAATTACAAGCTACAAACAAACTTTACATCTTTATAATATTAGTGTAGATAACAGTTGGAAGAATCCCCTGGTGTGATAGGATTATCACTTAAAACCATTAGCAACATCAGGATTTTCGTTTTTATATGAATTGTAAGCACAAATTATCTTTATAGGAGGTAAATATTGCAACTACTTCAGTTAAACTAATCGGGTCAATGTCACTGTGGCTAAAACTCACATTTGACACTTAATATATTTTTCAGACGAATCATTCATGAATAAACGCCATAAACGTTGTCCTTTCCGAATTTCGATATATTGGTTTGTAATCTTGGAACTTATACATAAATCCTATAAAAAAAGCAATTACAGTTTTTTCCTAATATAAATTCTACAATTTTTTTGACTTTTCCAATTTTTCCCCTCAGAAAACCTTACTATAATAAATATTAAAAAATACTACATCGGTCAAGCCGCTATCAATATCTGTAATATAAATTATCTTTTTTCTACCAGTGTGAGGCACATTTTCATTTTGTAATTAATATGGTCCGACGGTGGTTTTTAGAAACTTTTTTTAGAAAAGTTGCCCTGCAAATTAGGAAAAACCTAAGGTGGATTTTTCTACACATTTTTTTGCAATGATAATAAATAAATGTATCAAAATTGGGACACAATGACATTCCTTGAGTATATTAACTATATTTATGAAATAATAATACAAATATGGCAAGACGAGTGTATACGTTTTATATCAGTGAGGACTCACCTCTTCCTTCATGCCGGGGCACTTGGTGACCACGGAGGAGTGGCAGCGCTTGTGCACCACGCACGTGCACACTGACACACAAACAATAAGTTAATATTTAGAATACCCTTCATGTATAATTTACATATAAGTAAAAATCAATCTGACATGCACACCGAGGATTCAGTAACATGATGGAACTAAGGTTTAAGACGCCTTGGTCTCTCCCGTGACCATGATTGCTGTAAAGCATTCGAAACGTCGGGAACTGATTATTTCATATTAATTTCAACTTGGTACCTCTACGGATTTTTGAGGAAAAGGCTTTTGACAGACAGACGGACGGACAACGAAGTGAGTAAGGGTTCCTTTTTTCCTCTTAAGCTACGGAACCCTATAATGAATAAAAATTGATACGTAATTTATAAAATATGGCGTCTGGAATTTTATACATGTCAATGTACTTGAAACAATTGTGTAAAAAAATTTGTAAAGAAGTGCAGCACAGCAAATGAAGTAATATATAAAGGATACACACCTTGACACTGGTATCCCTGCTTTCCGATGCCCCTGCACAGAAAAATATTAAATTTAGATAGATTACATACCTTTATAAAAAAAATATATAACAATTTTTAGATAAAATAAATAATTAATTCCTTTATGCGCTCTATACACATGCAACTTCTTAACTTACCCTAAACCTAGTAAATATTCCACTCTCTGGTTTCTTTATACAACTCCAAAATTCCTTCATATTAATTTAAATGTAACATAACTATACCTACAGTAACAGGTGAGTCATAAGATGATCAAAATTTTGTCTTGAGCTGTTTCTACTCATACTTAACAAATGTTAAGTACACACAGTACCTACAGCTTCTAGAAAGCGAGGCTCCACACTTACCATATAATCTCGCGACAGTGGCGGTAAACAAGCTATAGGGCGAAGATGACTATAAACCTGTGCTCTTTGGACTGATCCAACGTCAGGATCTCACACAATCGAGTTCCCATAAACCAAAGCTATACGGCGGTACAGAAGGGCGGTGACTCACCATATGAACTCCCGGCAGTGGCTGCAGAAGGTGGGCTGCCGCAGGAAGGTGGCCATGAACTTGTGCCCGTTGACCTGGTGTACGCGGCGGCGCATGGCCCCGCGGCGCCGCGCGAACCCCGCGCCCTCTTTGAACTCGCGGCCGCGCGCCGCACGCGTGCCGCCCGGCGCCGCGTGCCCCGCCCCGCTCACTGACATCACACACACGACTGCTTACACCAACGGTCACAGGGGTTCCGTCCGAGAGTTAAATAAAAGGTTTTCAGACACGAAGCCTGGTTTTAATGCAATTATAAATATGTGAAAAAATTTCATTGGTCACATTAAATAATTGGGTTATATTAATATTTTTCATTTATGATTTGTTTTTTTCAAGTCAAACAAGAATATATCGTAACTACATAACAATCAGTTTATTTATTATCAAAATGGGCATCTGTTAAAAAAAATATGATCAATAAGAGTCCTGGGCACAAAAAAAATTGGGAACCGCTGGCTTGGTATGGTATGTTCGGGCTGTTTTCCGCAACTCGACGACTATGCGCCTATTTTGCGTGTGTAACCGCTGGCTTGGGCCACATCCCATTATATAACATCTTGACCGATTTCAACCACGGCGACCAATCTCACTGAGACTAGCCAAATGCGCAGAAGATATTATAGAGCACTTTCTATTTCTGTCAATCTTATACTCCGATAGGACAATAATTCGACACGACCGGTGAGACATCAAGCGCAAAACTCAGAACTGACTTTACGTGTTCTCTGAAGCACGGTAGAAAACCCAATAGCTAACTTCACCCGATCCGGGGATTCGAACCCAGGATCTCTGATCTGTAGATATAAGCAGTATAACTTACATACTTGCACTACAAAAGGAATCAGACGCGCGGTACCAACTCAGGAGCAAAAGGCCAACATTTGTCTTATTGTTAGTACTATACATAAGTGAGCATAAAATGAAGAGCTCAACTATTAAGTCTTGTGATGGAAAAGAAACTATATTATCCTTTTAATAGAAACTTATGATTGTATTAGGATGTAAGTCCAGTCCAGCCATTTTCGAATAATTCATAATTAATCAGGTAATAGATAGTGACATAGCATTTTGCATTTTAGACAAAGGCTACACTTTATGCTTCTGGGATGAATTCAAACATACCAAGTACCTAACATGAGTATACTCGTAGATTATTCACTACCCATTAGCTTAGCAGTTTTATATTAGTTTTTATAAAATTCACATTTACCAACTGCCACCTGTGAGGTGTACAAGTATATATATGGGAAAGCATAGAATGTGGTACTGGTCTGGTCAGAACTGTGGTAACTGGTCAGATCAAAATTGAGTTGCAATTTAAAATGACAATATTAGAATCGATATCTAATATCACTTGTATAATTTTAACGATTAATTAATTAGCCTTATTATACTTTATCATGTTTCTGCAGGAAAAAAACTTCATTCTCCCTGAGTCACCTTGCAACCAATACATAAATCAACAAGCATATTTTAATTTATCAATACAAAAATATATAATGACTCATCTCATTATGAGACCAAAATAGATTGAAGTTAAACTTCACTAATAAATATGAAAATGACCTTAAGTTATACTATTTCTCAATATACTGACGCATTCCAGTATATCGCTGGTTTTTTTTATAAAATTGTCATTTAAATAAATACCTTGAGAGTTCCATTGCAGATCAATCTTCAGATGCAACTTTCCTTGAGGTTCTAAATCCACCTGAAAATATATCATGTCAATGTCAAATATTATAAGCGTAAGGTGTAAGTAAGACAATATTTAAAAATAGTAATAAGTAATTAAATAAACTAAAAGTTTAAAATACAAACTCATTGTCTTAATATTATATAAATTAAAAAAAGTTGCTTTAAAAAATGCACACAAACAAAACAAAATAGTCAAAGGAACCGGCCTTATCAAAAATGATTATTAAAGACACACTTCAGAATTATTCTAAATAATAGTACATCAATAACTACAAGGAGAAGGTAAAATTCAATGCCTCGAGCCTATTTCACAGTAGATTTAATATGAAAATACACAATTCTATGTAAACCTATAAAACTTTTTTTTCAGTCCATTGAATAGATTTTATTTAATTCTTAGTTATATTGTATTTTATTATGCAACAATAAGGTTTGAACAAAATAAAATATAAATATAAAGGTGTAAATGTAAAAAAATAACAATTCATTCATTCAGTCACAACAGGAAAATACTTTCACTTATGAATTTGCATGAAATTCCAAGCACATAAGAAAACATTATTCAGATGAGATGAGTCACTGTGATGCAAACAGGATGCTGGGCTATGACAAATTCAATCTTGCGACTGTTTATATTTCATATCTTACTTTAATACATATATTTCATTAACGTATTCTTAATGAATATCTCACTTATACTATATAACTTTTTTTCCAAGATAATGGCAATCTACTGCTTCAATTTTCCTTAAGGTACTCAAGCTTATCAATCAAAACTAACAACACAATATATAAGATATAATAATCATTATAAAATATTGAGTGCTCCAAAGACTACAGATTAGATAAGCAAATCTTGAAATTATTTATATCTTAGTAGAATGAAAGTAGTTGACATCTCATTTTGTGATAATGAAACTTACCCAAAAATCTGTAGCATCTTTATCACGATGAATCAGATCTTCGAAAGGAATAGTGCAGTTTGCAACAAAGTCATCAGGAGGAATTGCAGCATCATGGAACACAGTGATGCCCAAACTATAAAGTTTAAATGAAATTGAAAAATAGTTCCATAAATATTAGTGATTATATAAAGATGATAGAGGGAAGAGGAACAACATACCTGGTGACATTGTGCACTTCGTGTGTAAAAGATTCATTCCACACAGGGTCGAATGTTTTGGGTTTGGTGCTCGACTTATCTAGATGATGCTCGTCGGCGTCGATCGAGACGTACGGGTCTATCGGCTGGTCGTCTGCAAGGTATCGCTTATTTACAAATAATACCAACACCCATTTTGGTAAACATCCAACGCCTATTTTAAGCGCAAATTTATGCATACGAAACTAGTACTACTAAAAATGAGGTCAGATATTTAAATAATGGAATATTGTATGGTGTTGTATTGGTATCGGGGCTCACCTGGCTTCCCGAAGGTCATGTTATGCCGTTTCTGAAAGTCGGTCGGCCGGAGGCCCGTCGCCTCGCACACCCGCACGCGCACCGTCCCGCTGAACATGGCGCCGCCGACCACCGAGCCGTATCACCAAGATCGCGCCGCCACACTATCACTTCCACTTTTTAAAACCACCAAAAATCATTGAAGATGCTTCATAATTGAGATAGAAATAGAGACTTGACAGCGACGAGTTCGGCCATGGATAGATTTATTTTGTCTATGCTCACTAATTGACTCCTATTGGATATTGGATTCTTATAGAAATGTTTCTTGCCTATGGTAGGAATAAACTATGTTCCGTTTATTTAACCCCGATTATTTATGCTTAAAATTGTGATCAACATGAATAAGAAAATACTCCGCCTACGGTAGTAAATAAAAAGAATAAGCTATAAAACCCTGTAACCTCACTAAGATTATATCTAACTGCATGGGTAATATTATTATTATTATTTGTCTAGACATTGATGTCTGACTGGCTGACTTATTTTGTATCTAACAGTTTTTAATAAATATGTTGATGATGATGTTCTCCCGACCGATTCGGGCCACGGCGGCCAATCTCATTGAGACTAGCCAACTGCGCAGGAGATATTATAGTGCACAAGGGTACGCGCAGACACAAGTGCACTCTCTATTCTTGTCATTCTCATATTCCGGTGGCACGACTGCTCGACACGACCAGTGAGAGTTATAAGGCGCAGGACCGACGGCTTTACGAGCTCTCCGAGGCACGGGGGTGAAACACCGCCAACTTCCCAACTCCGGGCTGTTACTGAGGCTTACTTATACAGAAAGACTCAATAACTAAACTTGGCCCGACCCGGGACTCGAACCCAGGACCTCCGGGTATGCAGCCGTACATGCTAGCCACTACACCACGAGGCAGTTAATAAATATGTTTATATATAAAATAAATATGTTATGACCACCATGATGAATAAACACTGAGCTACCACTGCCTGCAGCCCTCATTACACTCTTTTAAATCCAGCTGAACACATACAGGCACTAATCTGTACCTACTAATATTATAAAGGCCTAATATTACTAATATTATAACCACTACTTTTTCTTTAGTGTCCTCCGCACATTATGGTCATGGACGAATTAGAGACTATGGTACACACATTCACACACACACACACGCAAACACACACACACACACACACACACACGACATAATACATACATACATATAGATAAAATATTATTCTTGTATAGAAGTTAAATACCTACTTATACCTAAAGCTTTTGTGAAACTCAACGGTTCAGTGTAGGAGAGGCTGGTAATCTGTCATACAGGTCTCCTAGTACAGACGCCAGTCTCTCACATAGTTATTAATGCTAAACTAAGCTTAATATTCTTTATAATATTCTTCATTGTATTAACTGTGTGAGAGAACAACAATAAACTTTATTATTATTATTAAAAAGAGGCAGTTTGTTTGTTTGAATGTGATAATCTCAGGAACTACTACACCGATTTTAAAAATTCTTTTTGCATTAGATAGCCCGTTTATTGAGGAAGACTATAGAGAATATTATATCACGTCGGAAAAATGTATCTACGGATAAATTTGTTTTTATCTAGGGACGAACCCGAAGCGAAGCGAGGGTGAGTCTAGCGGCTCAATCTCGTTTTGCTTCGGATTCGATCGCAGTAAATAATAAATCAAGTTCAAATAAAACATAATTATTATACTCGTAGAAAAAAATGACATTCGTGTTCGATTCGAAATTTCGAAAATAGTTTTATATTTTTATGTGAAAATTATTTCCGCTCGATTATAGCGGTGAAGGAAAACATTGTGAGGAAACTTGCAATCTGCATGTATGCGAGAAGGTAACTAGTTTTCGAAAGATATATGAAATCCGTATCTGCACTTGGTAACATGGTGGATGAAGGAGTTAATTTCCGATAATACTTTTGATTCTGGATAAAATTTCTGAAATTTCTTTTACAGAAAGAAAGATATATTATTTCTAATGAAAATTGGCTGGTTTTTATTTCGGTACATATAGTTTTCTCATGTGGGATAATTCGCCATAATTCTTTGTGCTAGACGTAAAGTAAATAGAATTTAAATGGTTTGATTACAAGAAAATATAAATTGAAACTAGAAATATACTTGAATATACATATACATATATATATATATATATATATATATATATATATATATATATATATACATATATACATACTAGCGACTCACCCTCGCTTCGTATTAGTTCGTCCCTAGGTACGTTTTAACGGTTAGTATAGAACAGAATTTATTTGTATATGTACATACATAGGTATAGAAAAGTAGGTAAGTACTTTAAAAAATAAAGAAAAATGTACCGCCTAGTTAAGAAATGATTGATTCGCCATACAAACCACCACCCTCCTTTTACCCTTAAGGGATGATTTTTGGGATAAAAACTATTTTATATCTTTTCCACCTTTTCAAACTATATATCTATACCAGATTTCATCTAAATCGGTTCAGCGAAATAGGCGTGAAAACGTAACAGACAGACAGACAGACAGACAGAGAGACAGACAGACACAGTAACTTTCGCATATATATATTAGTATAGCATTTATATATTAATATGTGGCATGATCCTCTTCAAAGTTCGAATTTTAAAAAGTGTTGAAGGTCTATACCCAGCTCTGGGACATTAAAAATAATGAATGAGCTAGCTAATTTTAGCCCGTTACGATAGCTTGAAACATACTGACATTCGCTGTGATCGTATAACAGAACGTAACTATCATTGAATGTGAATTTGGCAGTTTTAATTTGTTTGACTTTGACAATTGACATAAAACTTTTGTTTTCCAATTCCCGATTACAAACAATGCTTTCTATTTACAAGTAAATAAAAATGGGATTTTTAACTATCTTGAAGAAACTCCGTCAAAAAGAAAAAGAAATGCGTATTCTTATGTTGTATCCTTTTAAAAATTACATTTTTATGCAAAAATATAGTTCGTACTGCGGGTACTAATGACTCATAATTTTAACATTTTATATATAAAAGTTTTTATTTTCTGTCGATTTTATCCAAATATATAGTTTCTTTAACAGCAATTAAACAGGGGCTTAGATAATGCTGGTAAAACAACAATTTTGAAACGTTTCAATGGAGAGCCAATAGATACAATATCACCAACACTCGGTTTCAATATTAAAACGTTAGAACATCGAGGATATAAGCTTAATATATGGGATGTTGGTGGGCAAAAGTCATTGAGGTAAATAAAATCAACACCAATTATTTAAAACATATATCTTATAAACAGTACAGTCATAGAAATTTCAACCATCTGTTTTCAAAACTTTTACAAACATTATATTAAAAAGTACTAACTGAGAATTTAATAGCTTAAACGTTTTCTCCATGACCTAAATTATACATACAGATATTTACTTAAAATTCTTTGAATTATTTTGTGTTTTACATTTGTAAATATTTAAAGTTTATTTTAAAAATTATTTGCAGGTCATATTGGAAGAACTATTTTGAAAGCACAGATGGTGTAGCATGGGTAGTTGATAGTGCTGATGCAAGACGGCTGGCAGACTGTGCTAAGGAGTTACACTCTCTGTTAAGAGAGGAGAGGTTAGCCGGGGCCACATTGTTGGTCTTAGCTAATAAATCTGATTTACCAGGAGCCTTAACTTCACAGGAGATAAAAGAGGTAAACATATTTTTATAAATGCTTGTAGAAAATTGATTTGTGATTTGTTTATATTATCATTACATTTTAGATTTTTTCCCTTACCCAATTTTATTTATATATGGCATTTTTTGGTATTTATTTAAACTAAACCAATGAGTATAATCAGTGAACTACTTAAAGTATGTTATGACAATGTGTCTTATGAGACTGTCAGACCCATAAACTATCTTTTATGTACACACTAGAGACTCACCCTCACTTTTCTTCAGGTTCATCCCTAGACAAAAGCAAATCTAATCCACAGTAACCATACATTTTTCCAGGATAAAAGTAACCTAAATACTATTCCAGACTGTAAGATCCATTTAGGCTTTCTGGTGTGAAAGAATCACAAACATCCATCAATCCATCCTCACAAACTTTTACATTTATAATATATTGTTTACTAATATTTAATGGATATGGATTTTTATAGCAATAATATAAGGGAAGGATAATTCCTTTTTGATGCGAAACATCTATAGGCGCGCCTTAGCAGTAAAACTGAGTGGTGTTATTTTGGGTTATTATGTGTGATGGGTATAATAGTCACATGCGATCATGCCTTTTCTACACCACCACTCTCGACTTCCTTTTGTGTGCGCGCGCGCGTATATTAGATACACTCCATTGTAAAAAAAAATTTTCTATTTTACTATTATTATAATTAAAATAATATGAAAAATAAATTGATTTCATGATCATAACTCTATTTTTATAATTTAATATAGATGTTTCACATCTGTCGGGCGTCCCGTGACGGCCAACTTTTTCTTTAACTTCTAAGCTGCAGATCCGGTGGTCCTGAGTTCGAGTCCCGGGTCAAGTATTTCTATTAAGAAAGTCTCAGTAACAGTCCAGAGTTGGAAAAATGGCCGTGCTTCACATCGTGCCTCGGAGAGCACGTAAAGCCCTCCTCAGTTCTGCACCTTATCTCTCACCGCTAATGTCGAACTAGTCCCACCGTAGTATGAGCGTGACGAATGGCTAGAATCAGTGAGATTGGCAGCCGCGACCGAAATCGGTCAGGTGGACATGAATTCTTTTTTATTGATTTTTTTGATTTTTTTTACAACTTTACATGACTGCTTTTTTTCAGGCTCTAGATTTGGACAGCATCAAGACTCACCACTGGCGTATAATTCGCTGCTCAGCTGTCACTGGGGAGAATCTGCTTGAAGGCATGGACTGGATGTTGGACGACATCGCTTCCAGGATATTCACTTTGGATTGAACATTTACATTGTCTAATCTAGAAATTATGCATTATGAAGGTTTCATTCTAGTATTACATTGCTAGTTTTTATTAAACTATTAGCTATTGCACTGTAAAATCAATTTGTTAATTAATACTTAGATTTTGGCGCTTAATATAATCGATATTCTTCTAAAACACATGTAATTATTTAAATCATATGTTTTTTTTTTATGTAAATCCCTTTCCCCATTGAGTTTTAGAAAGTGTGAGCTAGCTCATATTATTTTTGAAAGATGAATCTGCTGCAACTAAAATAATTGCCTAAAAATAAACTATATCATAAATTTTAGTTATTTGATAAATTCAAAATATTTTATTAAGCATTAAATTATTATAATTTTTGAAGTATACTTCTTTTGGTGCGTTATGAAAATGAATGATGAGAGTGAATTTTTTACAATTCGACAAATTTACACTACAATATGAAGTAAGTCGTTATTGGTTACAGTGTGAAAGTAGTCGTTAAATCTCCCTTTAGTATAGTGTGATGACTATATTCAAGATGCATATATATTCTTTTATTTCTATATACACAACACGTTTGGTTCTCGTTACTGTACGATTACCTAAATGCCGCCATTTTTAAATGGCGATTTATCATTTCCATAGTGACCCTGAGATAGGCATCAAATGTGTTATATATTTATGTGTGTGGGTAAACCTTAAAAAGGTACTTAGTGGCTGCGCCCACAACGCGAAGCTTGTCGAGCAATAAATCAGTGCGTATCCGACTACCAAGCATTTCACTTGTCCCCGTCAGCATACATAACAGTGGCGACGATCTACCTGCGTTTATTGTTTTAAAAAAATAGCCGTTATATTTGCAATGTCTCACTTTGGAATTTTATCAAATTTCGATCACGATTCACAAACGTGGCAAATATATAAAGGTCGGCTTACACAATGGTTTATTGCGAACGATATTACGGATGCACAAGATATTTCGGGGGTGAAAAGAAGAGCGATCTTGTTGAGCGCACTCAGTGAAGCAACATATCAGCTTGCCGTAGACTTGGCGTTGCCTAAAGAACTCCAATCCGTGCCATTTGAAGACATACTTAACCTGCTGGATAATCATTTTACACCGAAAAAATGTGGTTTTGGTGAGAGGTATAAGTTTTATAATGCGAATCAGCAGGAAGGAGAATCTTATTCCGAATGGGCGGCACGCTTGCGCGGGATGACGGCGTACTGTGGATTCTTGAACGTGGAGGAAGCATTAAGGGACCATTTTATAATGGGAATGCGGCCAGGAGCGGAGCGAGAGAAATTATTTGCTCAGGATCCAAAGGAGTTAACGTTAGCAAAAGCAGTCGAGTTAGCGGAGAGCGTGCGCTGTGCGCGCGCTGGTGCAGCTTCCCTGGTGGAGGGAGCCGGCATACCACGGGTCGAGCAGCTGTTTAAAATCAATAACACAAAAAGTGATAGTGATAAAGTGTCGTGTTCGATATGTGGTTTCAAAAACCATACGGTAAAGCAGTGTCGGTATGCTAATTATAAATGTAGAAAATGTAACACAAAAGGTCATTTGCGTCGAATGTGTAAAAAAAAAATTAACCCTAGGCAACGGACGCAACGACATCTCCGACTGTCCCGCTCTGGAATGGGAGCTATCCCCGCTTTGGGATTCTTCTTCGTGACACACTCTATTGTCAGCAGAAGCCTCAAAGAATTCCTCTCTATCTATGTCTTCAACAGATGAATTATTTATCGGCGTTTCAGTTAATTGCGGACGGTTATCGCTTCTTTCTTTTTCCCGATTCTGTAACGTAGCTTCCTCGGGCAAAAACGAGCTTTCCGGCGTCAAGCTTGTGTCGTGAATATCGACATAACTATAGCTACGTTCGATTGGCTGAGAAGTGTTGCTGCTATCCGTGCCTTTATAGGGAATCAGCTGATTTTTATGTTTTTTCAAAACCGCCGAATTTACATAATCTTTAATTATATAAATAGTTTTTCCTATTTTTTTATTACTAAACCTCTATTCCAGGTAAAATTTTTATTAAGAAAATGTTTTTTATACATTATATCATCACCGGGTTTAAAACATTTATCATTATTACCTCTGTAGCTTTTACTCTGTAAACACTGATTACGTTCAATTCCCTTAACGACAGTGTCACATGAGAACATAGAGTATATTGCTACATATATAAACATGAGAACTTCTTTGATGGTGACGGGTTTATATAATCTAAGCGCGAACGAAGTTTCCGTCCATACACCAATTGAGCAGGCGAAAAGCCCGTCGTAACATGAACTGAATTTCTATAGTCAAAAAGATATTTCAATAAATCGTTATGATTTTGTTTAACATTTTTACTCATTAATAAACAAGACTTAATACCTCTTTTGACAATTTTAACGTAACTTTCCGCCTGTCCATTACTGGCTGGATGATATGCGGGGGATGTTACATGCGATATTCCGTCCGCAATTAACTGAAACGCCGATAAATAATTCATCTGTTGAAGACATAGATAGAGAGGAATTCTTTGAGGCTTATGCTGACAATAGAGTGTGTCATGAAGAAGAATCCCAAAGCGGGGATAGCTCCCATTCCAGAGCGGGACGTTGCCTAGGGTTAATTATAAGCCTTTTCTTTGTTTAAAAATCTAAATATATATATCGACAAGTAAATGTATTAATTGCTATTTTTAAATGTAAGGATCTAAAAGGGGAGGATTGTTATATATTTGTGTGTGGGTAAACCTTAAAAAGGTACTTAGTGGCTGCGCCCACAACGCGAAGCTTGTCGAGCAATAAATCAGTGCGTATCCAACTACCAAGCATTTCACTTGTCCCCGTCAGCATACATAACAAAATGAAAGGGCTTGATTAGCGCAATATGCAAAGTGACGTCATTGTAAATCTCAATGTAAAATATGGCGGACTCCCAAAGATGACAGACTGTTTTTTTATGCACCCCCTTGATATGGATATCAAATGAAAGGGCACTTTGCTGAGAAGAATCTGAAAAAAAGTCAAAAATATAAAAAGTTAAAACATAAAAAAAAAACTTTTATTTAAATGCTCTAAAAAACAAAGTATAACTTCTTATTATTATTATTCTTACGTGCGTTCTTACACACACATTTTTTTTACTGAACCTCATGACAACCATTTTTGATAGGTTGTGTGGGTTCCCATGTGCCTACTAACAATATGCTGTGTCAGTCCAGGTCGTAGCATATCTATGTACTCAATTTCAACCATCCATCCAGACGTTTCAAAGTGCCACACACATACAAACTTTCGCATTTGTAATAGTTTGTTATTTTTAGCCTATGAAGAAACGGACCAAAATACAAAATATGAAACACAACACGACTGGGCAATAGGTCTCGCGCACTCGCGTATAAATTTTTTCGGTGGAAATACGCCGATTTTTTTTTCAAATCCAGTTCAATAAATTGATTAGAAAAAATGTAACTAGGTATTAATAAAATCTATAAAGTACCTACCTAGTAGGATCAATGAAATTTGATTACTTTTTTTAATAATATATATCCTTTATCTACCATATAAAATAAATCTACTATGTGCACCAAATTTTAAAATACTTAACATTCAGGTACTATTAAAGATTTTCAAATAATGAAAAAAAAATCATGGCAATGTTGTTTGTACAAAATAACCTTTATATTTAATCTGGAGTAAGGGTAGTACATACTATGTACATATGTATATGCAGCAGAGCAGTTACTACTTTCCACTCATTATGATGTGTGACATCAACTGATGGCAATATGATGATAATTTTAATTTTAAATAAAATCTTAATATGTATGTAATACTGTTGAAAATCTCTGAATTAAAATTTGTAATGAAATAATCAAACACTCTTTCCATTAAAAGTATTTATTTTTTATATTTACTAAGTCCAAAGTAAAAATTTAGCCTTACATTTCCAACCATATATCTCACATATACTTTGTACTGTGTTGTTAACTGATGCCGACAATATGTCAATCAATACATTTCACAAACATTTTATTTATTTAACAGAACAAACTATATGACGTTAAAGTATTAGCTTTAGACTAATCCGTACAGAATATTGTGTTGCCAGATTTTATAAACCTTTATAAGTTTTTTTACTGCGCTTTAATAAAAAAAATATTTCTCATAATTTTTTATAATTTTTATGATCTGGAAACACTAGGCCCTGAGGTCACATATGACAACTTGAGATTGAAATTCTAAATTTATTTATTCATTACAAATATACAAATATCTCTAATGCTACGAGTAATTGGTGTTTAATTTACAGCATATCTGTTACAATATTAACTATAATAATTGGGTAAATATTTTTAGGTCATTTGTGATTATACTAGGTTGAACTCTCACGGTCAATATTAAACATAATAAGATTACAATTAATTTTTATAACATTTGATTGAATTTAAATATTTACAGCATATAATATGCTTAAATAAAAAAATAAAATATATTAACTCAAATGAAATGAATTTGAACAAAACGTAAACTAAACTTAATATAGGTTTAGAAAGTTGTAAATAAATGAAACATAAAAACAAAATGTTACTTTAACTTTTGATCTGTTAATCATATTGAAATTTCAACTAGCGATTAATATACATATTTATTATGTTTTATACCAGAATATTTTTCTTCAAGTAAGCAGATAAGTGGAGCACAACCACTCTTTGGATCTTAGACGTATGTATTGTCCCGTCAGAGCTCACTCTAAAATAACCACACAGTTTACATACTACAAACATTAATAATACAATAGTGAATGCTGAAAAATAAGTGTTGTATATAAATTGTATACTTTTATCATTAAATGAGATACCATCTCATCACAGAATCTGTAAAGCATCATATATTTTGGAAGAATTCTTGCCTTATTCACTATGACACTTTAAATTCATCAAATAATGTATTTAAAAATTCTTACAAACTGCTCGTCTACGAGTAGAAGTGCTGGATTTGGATATTGTATTCGTACGCTGATATATGGACAATTTGATAATCAGTAGTTTGCAAGTTTTCTGTCAAGGGATCCTGGAAAAGCAATTGCAGAATACTAGTAAATATCATGATTGTAGAAATATAATTTAGTCATTAATTATATAAAAACTTACAGCACTTTGAGTAACAATTTCTTTGCACTTAAATTGACATAGGTCCAATATATGGCTATTCGAGCAGACATTTTTATAGATTTATAAGAATTTATTATAGTTTTTAACTGGAAAGTTCTACATATTATGCATGTTTCTCTTAAGCCTTTTATCTAACAGAACTATAAATTCTGTTTGTGTTATTTTAAACATACGTTTTTAATATTTTATTTTCTTAGTTATATAACATATAAACTGTTTAGCTCAACAAATTATTTTGAAAGTCTCAGAGTCTAAGGGTGTGTTCAGCTAAATAGGAATTGCCTTTGACTATTTTAGTTATTATTATTGCCTTTCAAAATATTAATCAAGCGGAGATCTTACGCTCATCCATTTCGGCACTCTCCATGCCATAGTGAATAAAGGTAATATTTTCGAATGCACTTAGCTATTATTATTTTTAAAGAGCATTACTTCGATTTGTTAATTTCTCTCTTGTACAATATTATATTTAGGCTTGCTACGTGTCTGCAGATGCAAGTGAAAACAAGACCTTACAGTGTTACTTTATATTTTCATAAGTATGTAAAATTATTTATCTCAATTTAATATATATAATATAATTTTGGGAGAAAATTTCGTTTAAAACGAAGCTCGCCATAGATGGAGCCAATAGCCCGTAATTTAAGGAAATAATTAGCGATTTTTTTATTAAAATAAGTAATATATATTCCGGATGTTTCAATCACTATTGCTATTTACCTAAAAAATATTTTAGAATATCAATAATGCTCTATGTTTTAGTTATTCAAGTGTGTGCTATTTTATAATGTACACTAGTGGAACCTTAAGCAACTTCTCACTACAGATTTCAAAATGTCAATATTTATATTATCAAAGGTATACAACATTTATATAGAATTAAAATATTTATCGAAAGCATGAATTGCCTTAATTAAATATAATAATTTCCATTCAATCCGTTATAGTCTTATATACAATTACAAGTTTCACTGCATTTTATTTAAATTGCTGTTTTATCTTTTATATATTATACAAGTATATGTTAAGAGATATAAATTGTCACCAGAAACTGCACATGGCTTTGCCTACAATAAACTAACGAGTGAACCAAATATAGCAATAAATATACAAGCAGATTTTGGATTTTCTGTTTTTATGAGAAAGAATAGTAGTAAGTATAACTTGAAACATGTCATCAATATCTTTTATGTAACAAAAATTTGTTTTCATCTCATTATTATTATTTTAATTAGCATAATGTGCAATTCAAAAGAATGGAGGCAAAGCCAAATGTTTCTATTTTTGTTATATATAGTTTTAACATTACTTTCATCCAAGGTTTTCTTCACTCAAGTGTCATACCTGACTGCTCAGAACCTGTTAGGAATGATTCAAATTGTTTTCTTCAGCATTTTCTTTGACGGAGGGTTCATTGTCAGGATCAGCTTGATTGGTTTTATCCTCGGCTGTCTGTTCTGTGCTTGTGTCGATTGTGTCCATCTTACTTTCTTCAGATTCTGTAACTTAAAGAAAAATGGATTGGTTTGGCATTTTATTTTATTTCTAAACTTTATAGGCATCACACTTTTGATATGTATAGTATAGTAATATGACTCGAGGCTGTTGGAAAAAATTTAAACTAAAAAAGTAATTAACTAGTTTATTGAAAAAATCTTTACTGAAATTGTTTCAATTTGTTTTAGAATTTTTTTTAGAAGTCTTTATTGTAAAAAATAAGGAAATAGTACAAAATTGGCCAAGCTCTCATTATATACATATTATTGTAAGACCTCAATTAAATATAAATATTTAAAAACCTGTCTACCTTTGTTGTCCTCCATAGGTTCATCATGTCTCTCCTCTCCCTCACTCTCTTCCCTCTCCTTCTCGTCCACATCAATAGCAAATTTGTCCCGCTTCCTTCGCTCATTGCCATTGGCCAAGTCTGCACATCTGCCATGGTTTTCCTGTTCATTCTCTTTGGCTGGCCGGACTCGTAGACATCTCTGTTCTATTCTTTGCAACTCTTCTTGTAGCTCTTCTCGCTTCTTTGTCATGCATTCTGTAAATTTTATTGTGTTACAGCTTTAAAAGTTGTTCCTTTTCATTGAAACTTGTTTCTTGGACTTTACATTGTATGCATGAGTGTGTTAAAGAAATTTTAGACAATAATCATTAGGGATCTCAGTACTTAGTTGGAGGTCATGGAGGAACATGTAAAGAATAATTTTAGCCAATAAGAGATTTCATGAGAAGCAAATATAGCTCAGATGGCAACTAAAATTATCTGAATTTAAATAGCATTTTGAACTTATATATCGGTACTGTGATTCATGGCTAGTGGAAATTCTACCAGGGTAAGTCAAAGTGAATCTTATCATTTCCATTGTCCACATTTCCTTAAAAAACAAAAAGAAAAACCATAATTTGCAAGTTGATTATTTTAATGTATATGACCTTAAAATTTTATTATAATCATAATTTAAGATAAAACAGACATATACTGTCACAAATTACTCACTGCGATACAAAGGACCATATTTAGCTGTAAATTACATAATTTAAAATGAATAGATGACATTATATTTAACACACTAAATGTAAGTTTCTACTTCAAAATAATTTTTACATTATTAGATACTCACTCTCATGGAATTTTCTACTGGAGTCAAGCTTTTCTTCAGCCTTTTCTGACATCTTCTTTGGAATCCAGTACAAATGCGGCTTTGCTTTTGTGAGTATGAAGTTGCCGAGGCACTGCTGTGAGGCTTCCCACTTTTCAAACTCCTGAACTCGAGCCATTTTTGCTTCCAATGCTTTAATAGTGGCTTTCTTATGTTCTCTCTCTGCGAATAGTGTTTTTCGCTCTTTCTGTTCCCTTTCTTTTTCCAATCTTGCTTGTTCTTCTATTTTCCTTTCTACTTGAGCCTTTTTATCTTCCTATCAAAAAGTTATTTGATTTAATAATAAACCTTTAATGTCTGCCATAAGCAGTGACAATTTTTTTAAGAATAAGCTACCTATATACATACTTTAGTTTGTAACACAATTTCCTCTTGCTTAAACTTTTGTAATGTTCCAAGTAAAGAACTAAATATTCTTCTATTCCTAGTCCTAGCCTGCTCGTCATCACCCTGGGCACGAAGGACTGCAGCCCTAGTTGGTAGTTCTCTGGACACTGCTGATGACATACGAGTCTTTTTTGTTGGATTATCTTCTTCTCCATCACTATCTTGAACTCTTGCTGATAATCTTTAAGTAATATTAAAATTTACTGAATATCAATTACTCATGCAAATTGTATAAAATTACATTTTAATCATAAATGTAACAATCAAAACCTCAATTAAAGTATATTTTTTTAAGTATATGTTTCCATTCAGAATAGACATCAATTGTCACCACGATTAGTTACTAACTAGTACAAATCAATAATAATAGTTAATTACACTTGGTATCAAAGAACTACTTTATTCTAAGTAACTGGTGTGAATTATAATAAACTTGGATATATTTACTGAACTCACCTGCTAAAAACAGTTTTAGTTTCGTGTTTGCGTTTTAATTGATCATCGTTTTTATAATTATTGGCTACGTCTTGATATGAATTTCGGCCACCTACGCGATTGCCACCTCTTGTATAATCTCCAGTTGCATTAAACCTGTAATTTCACACGTATTGTAGAATATATTCATGCATTAAACCAAATAAAAGGTTTGAAAGAAAGCACTAACCTATCAGTAAACCGTCCGGATGTTTGTACAATTTTCTTAATATTTTCATCTATTTTATACAAACTGCTTTTTTCACTCTCAAGTTGTTCACGCAACGTACTAAAAGATATAGCTATTTCGGTACCCATATTAATAAAAATATATTTATACAATATTTAGCATTTCAATCGTTTTACGATCACAAGTTTTGATGAATTTATAACAAGTAACAACCACAGATTAAACAAAATATTTACATTTTCAAACGTTTCATTACACGTGAGTCCGTTATATCGTTATAGGTTATATCATCTTATTTATGTTATTAATTTAGTACACAATTGAGTATAAATAATTTTCTGATTAATAATTTATTGTTAAACATTATTTTAAATATATAAAGTTCATGTCCTCAATTATACCAGTTTATATTTCAATGAAATTTATTTTAGAATGCTATTGAGTACTAGATGGCGTATATTAATGCAGAAACTTATAAATTAAACTTTTTATCATGAATTAACTACTTATTTCTAATCAATATTATTATGTACATATATGTTAATTGTGCTGTCTTTTATTGTAGGTTCAAAGTTTGAAAGGGATTTACTCTTTATGGCTCGCGAGTCGTGGGATATTTATTGGAAAGATCTACAAAAATAAGAGAGATGCTTAAGATTTTTTTTATTAGCCCATGTAAAATGAATTATAGTCATTAACTTATTAAGAACTAGTAGATACCTACACAACACAACAGCTTACACATTTTACATAACACACCACCCAAACCCTATGTTCTTAACGTGAAGGAGCCACGCGCACGTTAGAGGTAATAAAGAATTTAATTTAAAAGTTTAATATGTGAGTTGATCTATAGTTAGATACCAGGCCTGCCCAGTGCCCATACCCCGTCAGTCAACTACCAAAGTTTTAATTAAATAGTTATTGTATCTAAAAAAAATTGCTTCATCATTTAGCCAGAGTTCATAAATTTTTATGAGCTATTATTTAAAAATATTATTTATTAATTAATCAATACATTTTCTATCGTTTTCTTAAAATATCAATCTTTAATTATATACTTATTCATTTTAAGGCAAAGACGTACAACTGCATCTGTCATTCGATTTCCAATATTTTCCGAGACAATGTGCTGTAGTGTGATTATGATTAATACAAAAAGGTAAAACTCAAAATGTACCTTCAAATAGGTACACTTTTACGTTCTAAGTCCTAACATTTACAAACCCTAGAGGTCTTTTTGAAACAGAACCCCAAAGCAAACTATTCAAAGTTACATTACCCAGTACACTCTTTAGCAGATGATTTATAATAAGGACACTGGACACATTACGTATTGATATAAATGTGGTCGGTTTTCCTAAAAAAAATAACCAAAAAATATTTTTTATAAAAGATAAATACAAAAAGTTGTGATATTTATTACAATTTACGGTAATTTTTGGAACATGCAATCAAATCAATGGGCGTTTTATATGTCTTATGTGCGTAGAAAATTTGGAAAAAAACTGTCATTATTAACACAAGTGAGTGATAACAAGTTGCCGTAAACCAGATCGTATAATACTTTATTAGCCGTAACTTAAGTTATAACCAAAAAGCATACTCCCTTTTCCCCTGTGACCATGCTTGTAAAATAAATCCGCAAAAAATTTGTTCTTTATAATTTAAAATGTCAAAAAATATTTAAGATTTCTTATTACTACATAGTATAAAACAAAGTCGCTTTCTCTGTCCCTATATCCCTATGTATGCTTAAATCTTTAAAACTACGCAACGGATTTTGATGCGGTTCTTTTAATAGATAGAGTGATTCAAGAGGAAGGCTTTAGTATATAATTTGTTAAGTTTTTGTATACATTCGCTAAAATATAACGATATTTGTTGGAGGTGTCGGAAAAAATAAGACGTCTGGGAGCTTTCAACGAAAACGCTGCCTGAACCCTTTGAGATATACTAAAATAATGTATGGTAGAATTGTGTATCTTATATAGGTCTACAGAAAAGTCCACAATGGCATATGTCTATCTCTTAAGGATAACATACTATATCCATTTTAATTTAAAAAAATATATATTATAATATAATTTAAGGATTTTAGGAGCATATGGTAGAATACATAAATGCTAACTAACTTATTATTAACAAGTTCGATGCGCGCTGAGGCTGCATCCAATAAGTACGAAATTACATAATCCAAGCAAATCCACGAGAGAGCTGTTTTGTTAATAAATACATAAGCGCATACATATAACGGTTATTTAGTACAGTTTACGACGGGCGTTTTGATAGGCGGGCGGGCGGCGACGTGTCGCATAGTGCGCCCACGCAGGATACACTGTCGTCAGTCGTCACCTACTGACGTTGAGATCTATTGCCTGTCTATCTTAATTCGTACTAATGCCACAGGCATGTAGTATACGACGAATATGTGTCACTGTACGTAAATGATATGAAAATGGTTTTAAAAAATTATTTTGGACGTGTTAGGTTACCTACTCGTAGATAATAAAATTTTTTTTAAATGCTTCTTGAAAATAGTCCCTACAATCTATATACTCGTTTGAGCAAAAAAATTGCTTGAATTGCTCTTAGCTTTGGTTTGTTTAGTTTACATCGTGATAAAAAAACATAAAATATAAATAAGCAATAAATACATTACTTCTATATCTCCATATAATAAAATACTTAGTAAAAAGTCAAATATAGTCATGAAATATTTCTTTAAAACTATGACTGTATGGAATATAAACCGTAAAACAATCATTGTTGACATGTTTGCCTGTTTATCTTTGTGTTTGTTAGTCTGTATGTCTGTGTGCATTTCACGCATTTTTAACTAAATTTTGTGTAGTGATAACTTATTTATTTTTCAGATCAACATTTAATATACCTTTTACTACAAGAATATCTGTAATTCCCATGGGAGTTCTCCAACTCGGCCAAACTAGTTATCCTCACGCAATAATTGGTTTGGCCGAGTTGTTAGAAAAATATCAATATCACTTGTGCTCTCCATATTCCTCTACGCTTCGAAGACATGGACCCTACGAGAGGGTGTGAAGAAGAGAATAATCGAATGCTAGGAATACCATGGACCGCATTCGGGACAACATAACATCTCATAATATAATACATAATCCTCAGAAAAGTCGGCATCAAGCAGCGTCTATCTTCCACTGTTCAGGCTTAAATTCTATAAAGGCATAATTTTGACTAATTGAAGCGTCCTATGTACGTAACTTGAGTAGTTCTGCCATTTCCGCCGCGACCCCCATAGTAGACGCCGTCGCGTCGCCCTGACATGGGACGGAGCCAACGTATGTAGTGTTCCACAATAGGGCTTGTCCCCACTACCCAAGTAACCAGAGACAAACCATGCAGTAGATAAAATGCATTAAGTAAATTAAATTAAAATAGCAAAAAGTGAAACTAAATATTCGATAATAAATAATGATTCATAGACTAAACCCATATCAGTACTTATTTTTGCCAAATATAGAAGAATCCCTTAGAATGGTCCAATGATACATTTTCTTATCTAAAATAGGGAAATGAATAAAAAAAAACTGCTAATTTAATAATGAAATTTTTGGTAGTTTCTCAAGCTGTGATGTTCATAATCTTAAAAACATAAATTGCCGTCCCCGGAGAATAAAATGATTACTGATATTACCATAAATTTTAGTGTTATCCCATATTTGATGTCTACGGTGCCTAATACATGTACCCAATTTTTTTCGTGAATATCCAGCCATTATTCAAAAAGTTATAGAATACCTAATGCAATCATTTTCGTCGCTCTTTCAAACATACAAGGCTTCTTGAAAAAAAATATAATATGAAGTTAGTGAAACCGTTTATTCATTAAAGACACAACAAAAACTTTTGCAATAATATTCTCAAAAAACAAATCGGCGAAATAATTGGGAACGCTATTGTCATTTTGTTCTCGTAAAAATCCGCTTAGAGTCGGCGACTAACATGTACTTAGTAAATAGTAATAACAAAATTTTAGTAACTTTTTAAATTCTAAATATCTTCAGCTCGGATAACCTTAGGGTAACATACGAGTATATTAAAACATTATAAAAGTTAAAAAATTAGCTATCATTGAGCTTTTCTTTTTTTCTGTCTACATTTATTGCTTAGAAAGTTAAAGTCAAAAATATGTTTTTTATTTTTCCTGAAAAATGGTGTTTTTGCAGTTATCATTTTATAATCCGGGGGCGGCGAAATATCCATTTAAAAAAGAAAACTATCTTTTCGGATATTTTCGAAGATTTATTTTGATTCTTCGGTCATTTCGAATTCTTTACAGTAATCATGGTCTCGGCAAAGACTAAGTTTGTAGAGGTCTCAGTATCTGTTACTTATATACATAATGTATGGAAATAGAGTAATTTGACGTTTGCCTGTATACAGAAAACAACGCGTTATATACTTGTAGCTCGGACATGTTACACTAAAAACTTATCAATTTCAAACTACCCATAATATCTATTTGCTTATGAGAAAAATTCAACAATTCTCTTCACTCAGCTTAGGACCTCATGATCAACGGCAACGTATGCTTGCCACTAAAACACACGAGGTATTAACAATTTACGTACATAGATACGAGCTTAGCTTTATATTAAAACAGTGATCGTGCAGGAGGGCGATTTGTTTTCATGTAAAAAGTTGACAGTAATTCCCGGTTTGCATTCAAGCGTATTTTCTTCACAACGTACATGTATAAAAATGATTTTTAGAAGATCTATATTAATGTAAGTGAAAAAATGCGAAAGATCATCTTAATAGTTGCAAATACGAATTAAAATAGTAACAATCGAAAAAAAATGTGGAAAGTACTAAAATGGAAGGTCGAAAAAAAGAAAAAATTATAGATACCTATAGAAAATAGAATGTTAGGGGAAATTGCGAGCTTTATGTTATATCTCGTGTTATGTCTCTAGTATACCTTGTTTGGCCTGTGCCAGTGTGCATAATACTCTATGAACATTTTCATAGTTCATACAACTCTAATAGAGTTACAGGTTTTTTTTTGTTTGTATGTATGTCGTGTCTTGTGTGATAATGCTTTTTATACCACGAAAGTTATTCTTTATAATTATGAATTATCGAC